TCTTCATGAACATTGTAGCCCTGTGTCTTAGCTTCGAAACGGCATAAGTTTCGCCTCAATCCGATAAGCGTAGCCTCGGATGTGTTATTTCCGCATTCACACGTCAAATCTGTCTTTTACTAGATTGTATTTCTGCACTTGTTATTATTGTGATTCTTATTCTTATGATGTTGTGAGCCTATGGAACGGCTTTTGACTTAAATTTCTGATATGTGTGACTTTGGGTTTTGGCTGAGGAAAAATAATGAAGCCTAAATGGCTGGAAAATTAGGTAAACACAAAGGGCATGCTGCCCGAATTTACGCTCGAGAACTAGAAAACTATATTTGCAACTTGAGTAAAGGTTAAGTGATTATCACTTAAACTAGCGAGAACCTTTGCTACGATGTTTATCGAGGGTTATACGTTAGGACATGGCCGAACTTGTACCCTTGAGGAAAAGACATAATGGCCAATGTAAACTTGAATTTCCTTGTACTTTCAACACAAGTGTTATTTCCAAGTATCTATGCTACAAAAACCTTACGATTTGAAAAGCGAGCAAGTGTTTCACAAGTGTCTTTCAAATGAATTTCAATTGGTCGATTCTTAATGAACGGAACGTTTAAATTTCGAATCCTACTCGTGTTTCAAAGTTCTTAAACTGAGTTTTTATCGCAGATCTGGACTCCAAGCCTGGAGTGTAATTGAACGTGAATACTTGAGGCACTATATTTTGGTGAATGCTTCCAAATATCCGATTGTACTTGATACATGTGTTCCTTACTTGACTTGTATGATTACATGAAAATGAATGATAGGGCGAGGGTGTACTTTACCGCACTTGCCCTAATATGACTTGTTCTTGCTAGTAATTATATTTGACTTGCTCTACATGTACTTGAGATATGTCTTGCCTGGAATTTCAGAAACCCTGTGGCTAGTTAATCGAGTTGAGCCGGCAAGGGCCTGGTCGATTAGATAACAAACCCTGGGTCACTAGTAAGGTCGAGTGGAGTGTTATCTCCTCGGCAATCCGGTATACTCGAGTATTACCACCCGTTTTTCGTGTGGCGTGAGGGCCCGGAAAAGGGGGTTGATCGGTGGACGGGGATTGGCGTGTAATGGAGTTTTATTTTGGACTTGTTATTACTTGAAAGTTGACGGAGTGTCAACTACCCATTGATCAAGCTGGAATGGAACCGAGATATGATTACCGTATCCTTATATATGACTGCAAACCTGATATTACTTGGCTAGTTGAAGTACTATTTCCCTGATTTGACTTGTTTACTCGCTATTTCACTATTACTATGTTATTACTTGATTTGTTGGCAAATTTGATATTTGGAACTTCACTGAGTTTCGGCTCACCCTATTAGTTTTATTTTCTTTACAGGGTTACGAGCGAAGCGTGAGAAGTGTAAAGACTAGCGTAGTCTAGTTACTTTAGACTTTGTTTTTGAATTTTGACTTGTACTCGCGCTATTTCTCGAATGGAACATTTTGTACTTGGACTGTATACGTTTTGAACTAGTTTAAGTATATCGAGACCTTGTACCCTGATTTCTATCAATGTAAATTATAAGCTTGAATTGTGGATGTTATTTATGGTTCATGGTTGTGTGCACGTGATTTTAGTGAGTGAGTCCTGACGAGAGTTGGGCAGGCGGTCCGCCGAACCCTCTGGTACGCCTTAGGGGGAGGTGGGGTCGTCACAATTACAATGATGCGTATAATAGTGGGCCAGTGTCAGCAACGGACCAATTGTTTTGAAACGGCAACGGACTAATTTTTTTGAAGCTACAACGGACAAAATTTATACCAGCAAGTTAAAGTTAGCAACGTTCATTTTTTTTTCCAACGGTTATATTTTAATTCTGTATATAAACACACAACACACTCCTTTTTTTTTCATATCTTACTATCCTACTCTATTATTTCTTTTACTCTCTCACTCATTTTCCTTAGCCTCTTTGCACAATTTTTTAAAATTTCAATATTTTGTGATCATGGATGAGAATTTTAGTAGTTTTACAAATATGTTAAATGCTCCAAATATAGAAAATTCGTCCTCCTCACAAAGTCAAAACCACCAAAATTTTTCAAATTATCCAAATTACCCATTTTCTGGTATTCGTACAAATGTGCAAAATTATGCATGTCCCGAAATTTATTCACTTCCAAATTTCCAAAATCCACCAAATTTTTCATATCCAATTTTCATGTATCCTCCACCTACTTATTTTAATCCAAATATGAGAAATCACTACACATCGGGGTATTATAACCTTGGTATGGGTTGTGGAGGCTCAAAAACTCCGTCGGAGATAAGGAAGGATTTTGATTTCGCCAGCGAACAAGAATTTTGTCATTTTAAAAGATTCAAATTCATTGGGACTTTTAACTGAAAAGTATTTCAGATTCCCAATTTTTTGAGGGGAAAAATGTACGAAAATTACTAAGTTCAAATGACAAACTCTACACAAGTTGCATTCGCCAAAAGCGACTATCAATTTGGAATAGAATAAGGAAGCTGCAAAACTTGAAGGGTCCAATAATGCTGCATGTTGTAGCAATGCATATATAAGACTAATGCCACTTGCATATAAACAATAATTTATACGGACCCCATTCATGGTGTGGTGAAGTTCTAAATGTTTATAAACTTCAAAAAAAAGTTACAAGTTAACATAGTACATTATCTCCAAAACTCTGCTTTACTAGGAAGAAATTTAGTTAACTTTAATGTTCTTAATTCGACTCTCAAATAATCTACTATTCATTCTTCTTTATAAAGGCTTAAAACCTTTTTTGAGAAAAAATAAAAAGAAAATCAAATTAAATTGTTGATTGACATCTGAATGTACTAAAGTTCTAAAACTATTAAAATATCCGAAATCATAAGCCTCTACGTCAATGTGATTCCATACAGCCAACTTGTTTCTATGTGACTATTACTTGTTTATTTATTTACTGTATATATTATTCCCAATGACGGAGTCAAGGGGGGGCAGAGGGGGGCCATGGCCCCCCCTAAGTTTTGAGAATTTTAATTCATAATATGTAAATATGTGTGTAAAATAAAATTGGCCCCCCCTAAATTTTTTCAATTTTAGTTTATATTATGAGAGTTATATATATATATATATATATATATATATATATATGAATTAGTCATCTTTGAATGGAATTTCAATTTTGGCCCCCCAAAAAAAAAAATCCTGGCTCCGTCACTGATTATTCCATATGTTTAGATGCGGAATTTCAGCAGTACTACCTGTATATGTTGATGTGGAATTTTAATACACATTGAAAATGAAAAGTTAGCGTGCCCATATCGACCCACATGCATGAAAAATCAGTGGAAACTTCGTGATTGGTAGCCGACTTGAATTACTTGATGAATTGGAGCACTTTTTTATTGAGTCCATTCAAATTTTAACTGCATACAGCTTGAAAATATTCCAATATTAAATGCTCTCATTTGGATTGCTTCTTTTAAAAGTTTTTTTTTTTTTTTAGAAAAATATACTGTAACGATTTGATATATGTGAAGTAAAACTAAAAAAGTGATTGGAAAATATATTCACATAAAATATAAAAATTTTTCTGCCGAAAACCAGGATCCAAACAAGGAATACATAATTGTTTCAGTCATACCTGACTTTTATTGACCTTTAATTTGTTGAACATGTTTACCAACTAACGGGCTTTAATTATTCAATATGAAGGGTAAGATTTTCAGATAATGAAATTGCCAATTGACAAAAAAAAGACATGAGAAATAAGGGAAATTTGCAGATTTTAATCTTGATAATGAAAATTTTACACATTGAAAATCTTGGTTTTACTTAAAATTGGAGTCAATGCTTCCCTAGTGAAGAATTAGATCAAGAAAATGAGAAAAAAAAAACTGACAACAAGGAACGGTCCGTTTTTTTCAGTACACAAAAATTTTCAAGAACGTAGAAATCCAAATGAAATTCACCCAATATTCAAGTCAAGAGCATCTGTTTCTTCTTTTTCTTTTCTGAAAATAAACATTAACTCCGACAAATTAGATACAGTAAATTACAGCATGAATCTAGTCTATAATTTTTTTTTTTGTTTGACTTGAAGAATTAGCATGGCATTGGGACTGGTTTTCTTTTGGAAAGAATATAAAATTTCAGAGAATTCATCCGGAAAAAGCACGCCATGAGTCAGTCCATGACCAAAGTTATGTGACTTTTGTGCACTTTGGACCTGCCGGCGGAGACCAACACCATCAAATCCTCAACAATTTGCAAATGAAAGGTTTCTAACTTCAGATAACCGGCAGGCTCAGAAATTTTCTTTTGATAAAAAAAAAAAAAAAAAAGGCTGCCGAGCTACAGCCCTTGAACTTTTATTTATAAAAAAAAAAAAAAGTGGCTGCCGCAGGAATTCAAAAAAGTTAAAAACGCTGTTGCCCGCCGTGCTGATTTTAGGAATGGACTTTGTCAGCACCACATTTGCCAAATTTTTTTTTATTTTTGGGTAATATTCTAAGGAATTAGCCCTGTATATGTTGATTTTGAAAATTTTGACTCTTGAATATTCTCCCTTCGTTTAGGAAGCAGCCCTTATGCGCCTCTAGATGATCAAATCAATATATATAGCAACATCCAAAACTCCTAACTAACTTGGCTCAACAAGAAGAATAAATTTGCACTTTGTTTTCCATTATAAAGATTTGGAGTCTTTTTTGAAAAAAAAAAAAAAAAGAACTATCAAATTAAATTGTTGATTTACAGCCCAAATACACCAATGTTCTAAAGCTACAAAATATCCGAAACCATTAGCCTCTAAGTCAATGTGAAATCACATATTTTTTGTTTCATATATCCAGACAATTTGAGCAATACTAGCTGTATATGTTGATTTTAGACAGCAGCCTTTATCCCTGACTAGATGATCAAATTGGATCAGTATATATGGCAACATCCTAAGCTTCTAACTACATACATGCCTAATACATGCATTAGGCTTAAGAAAGAAAACAATGGCCCAAGCTTCCAAGCTCATCATGTCTTCTTCCCAAACTTTCTCTAGAACTAACCCAATCTCGAACTTGAACCATCAACTTCGTCCCTCCATATCCATCAAACCAGCCAAATCAAACTCCAAAATCAGCCATTACACTTTGGAAAACTCAGCCATTTTCAACCGTTCTTTGATAAAAAGTGTAAGACTTCTTGGCAGAGGCTTCAACTTAGCTAATCAAGCTCCACAAGTTTCGGCCTCAGATAAGACATTAGAGAAAGCTGAAGAAGAAAAAGCTGTCACTTCTTCTTGGATTGAAGCAGTTTTCCCTGAAAAAGCTCGGCCTTATGCCTACCTTGTCCGCTTGGACAACCCGACGGGGACGTTTTTATTTGCATGGCCATGCTTGTGGTCGCTTGCATTCACTGCGAACCCCGGCAGCCTTCCTGATATGAAGATGTTGGCATTCTTTTTCCTGGTGTCTTTTATGTCAAGAAATATTGCATGCACCATTAACGATTATTTTGACAAGGATTTTGATGCACAGGTGATGATCCCTTTTCCATTTGATTACTGAATCTTAAATTATGTTTTTACTTTTCATTTGGAGATACAGAGCAATTGACAATTTCACATGTTTCCAGTTTTCACTTGGTAAAAACTAAAATGTAATCTAGTTTCTTGTTCTCTAGAAGCAAAAAACTATACAAGGGCGGTATTATTATTATTATTATTTTATATGTAAAGGGTGGTGGTTGTTTGTAACATGATAAATACAAACAAATATATATAAATTAAGTAAGCAGAAAATAAAGATAATCAACGGAATATTAAAGAGAGGCACAAAAAAGTGGGATTTCCCTTTTTCTTGGTACAGATCTTTGGGGATCTATGAGACATAAATATATCACTTACACAAATTATGATATAAATAGTATGGATCTAAGAGATTAGATCTGAACTTTAAAACAATTCACCGCCCCGAGTGCTATAATTATATTATATACTCCCTTCGTTCCACTTTAATAGTCCTGTTTTCTTTTTTCGTCTGTCCCAAATTGTAATCCACTTTCCAATTGAAGAATGTAGTTGTATTTTAATTTTCCTAAAATACCCTTATTCAATGTAAGTTGTTGTTACTATAAACCTACTCCATTTAATGAGAGTTGATTCTTTTTTTACCATTAATTCAAGTTCCCATAAAGTTGTACTCTATTTAATGTGAGGGTATTTTAGAAAAATAGCAATCTAAATTTACTTTTCCAATAAAATTAACTACTTTTTCTTAAACTGTGTGAAAAAAGAAACAGGACTATCAAAGTGGAACGGAGGGAGTATGTGTGTGTGTACGGGGCGAGCCCATAGCCGAAGACAAGTCGGTAGCCATACACATGACATAGCAATGTCACAGCCTTTTCTTAATATTAATGATGTACGAAATATGGCTGTGAATCCCAGCCCATTTTGATTCAATCAACTAGTGATTATAGTTAAGTTTTATTTTTCTAAAATGCTCTTATTTAATGTACTCTATTATCAATGAATATAACCTACCTTACTCATTAAGTGCATTGATTCATACATTGAATGGTGTAACCTTTCATTAAGATTGTTGTTACAATTAATGTAAAGGTATAATAGATACTTATACTACTTATATTAATACAGCGTATTGGATGAATGACAACTATGCAAATTTTGAATTTGAAATTTAATTCTTACACATGTGTCATGGATCCAACAGTGATAGTGTATGCATTGTCAGTGTATATAAGATTTACTCATTAATATAGGGGTATTTTAAGAAAATAGTAGGTTAGATTTATTCTTCCAATAAAATTAATTAACTTGTCTTAAATTATGTGAAAAAAATATTAAAACTATCAAAGTAGGATGAAGGAAGTATATAGTGTTCAAATATAAATTAACCTATCCCAGTTTGATTCAATCATTTTTCTAAAATACTCTTATTTAGTGTACTCTATTATCAGTGAATATAATCTACCTTACTCATTAAGTGCATCGATTCATGCATTGAATGATGTAACCTTTCATTAAGATTGTTGTTACAATTAATGTAAAGGTATAATAGATACTTACCGTCTTACACTACTGATATTAATATAGGGGTATTTTAAGAAAATAGTAGATTAGATTTATTCTTTCAATAAAGTTAAGTAACTTGTCTTAGACTATGTGAAAAAAATATTAAAACTATCAAAATAGGATGAGAAGAGTATATAGTGTTCAAATATAAATTAACCCATCAATCTAATCCTAAGTTCCTAACATTTTATCCCTAACTTTTAAATATACGTACTCCTCCTCCCTGAAAAATGAACGTTCTCATGATTTCTTTCAAAGTTTCAAACTTTTTATGCTGTGTCTGTGCTCAAAATCACATTGTCTCTAATGCAATTATTGGTCTAAATATAATTGCTTAGTTACCAAATCCAAAAAAAAAAAAAAAAGATAATTACCCTCTCAAACCCATATCTATACTGCAGGTTGAGCGAACCAAAGGAAGGCCGCTTGCCTCTGGGGCAATAACGGGATTTCAAGCACTTTGTTTCCTTGGAATTCAAGTGTTACTCGGATATGGAATTTTTCTCCGAGTAAATGAACTAAGGTATGCGCCCCCTTTGACTCTTGTCCTAGGCCTCAAGTAGCAACCAGTATTAACCTATTAATTCACTTATAGGCAAAAACCCTAGCTATATTGAATGACCAATTCTTACCTTACCAAGAGTTTTAGATTTTCAACAATTTCTGCTCCCATAGATAACTCCTTTCTTTTTAAAAAAAAAAAAATTTTAATTCATAAATTTTAAGGTGACACCCCTCCTCTGTTTAAGAGATTTGCTACAAAAGGGGGAAAAAGCTTTGCATAATCAATTTGCAACTACCATATATATAATAAAATTATACTCTCATCCTTATCCTTTTATTTTGTCTCTTTCTTATATGGCTTAACGATATAGTAAGTAGCTGCAACGCGTTCTATTAAATAACCTAATAACCTAAACTCTTCCATCTCCTTTTCTTTTCTTTTTTTTGGTTATCCTCTTCTTTTTTTTTTCCTTTTCTTGTCTTGGACAAACTAAAATGTAATAATTGACAAATCCGAAAACTAGAATCTTTAATTGTGTAGGTACAATAGTAAGATATGTTATTAAGACTTAAATAGTTAAATGGCCAAAATTACATGGTAAAACCATTTAGTGTTGTTTCATTTTTGCCTCAACTCCGACTTATCTTCTAGCTTATGTCTCGTATCCATGCAAGGTGGTCTCTTGATATTCTTCTTTAATTAGTCGTCATTTTAGCATCCCTATGCGGTCGAAAACCGCCACCTGCAGTCTTAATAGCTGCCAAAGTCAAGATCACATTAGGTTTCCCGAAACATGCAATTAAAGCAGCCACATCTCATTCAGGTCTGGAATAATAAATAAATAGCCACCCATACCTCTGTCTGTGGTTTTCAATTGGAAAAAAAAAAAGGAGGTGATTGAGATTTTCAATAATTTCACTTAACTCTCAACATTTTAAAAATTACACGTACTTCCGTTACTCGTTTAAAATGATAATACTAATTTTAACATTCTAATAAAATTCCCTTGTTTACTGTGCTTAAACAAAGGATGAGTTTTATAATTTTTTTCTTTTTTCTTCTTATTCATTTCTCTTTATATTTCATCAGCGAATCCGAACAACTATTGATATCGTCCCTCGCATCTATTCTGATCAAACATCAAACTAGTTACATTTTTTTGATAACTTTTAAATAAGATACTGATGACAAAAATGAGTAGTTATGATGGGTGACGAAGGTCACCAATGGTGGGTGATGGGTGGTGTGGTGAGGGACGGGGGTTGTTTTGAAAAGATAAAGACAAATGTCAGAGTCTGTATTTTTTCTAAAAGAGCTACAGTAAATTATAATAAAACTTTATTTACAAACTCAAAGAACACACCGGCCAAGCACAAGCAGACCAGAATCCAAATATTCGAGTCGGTGCGTCCCCAATATCTAGACAAGTAGGCAAATGCATATAATGTTACTATGTTTTTTTTAAAGAAAAGGCAATTGGTAAATGACCTTACGTTTTAAACTCTTTCACATTATTTAGGTAAGTAGAAGAAACTCAAGAAAGTAAAAAATGATTGAATGACTTAAGTTGCAGCACAATTAACATCAGTACGCGAAAACAAGTCGCTTATATCTAAGGCCTCATTTCGGGTTGCGGTACTTTTGATAAAAAAAAAAAAAACTTTTAAGTGTTAAAAGTGCTTTTAAAGTATTTGATAAATATCATCCTATAAAATTAGGAGTTGAACTTTTGAAATTAAAAGCACTTGTAGCAAAAATTCAAATTTGATGCTTTTAAAGTAACTTTTTTGTAATTTAAAAAATAAAATATCAAATTTAATCATCTTATCCTATATTATGAACCAAATAAAGAGATAAATATTTTTTAAAAATTTCATATTACATATTATCTAATACAATAAGTACTTATTGAATTGTGTTTTCAAATATATATTTAAAAGTACTTAAACAGTTAATAAGTGCTTTTATTAAAAGTTCTATTAAGGAAGTACTATTCAATAAACTATCGCAACCCAAATGGACCCTAAGTTAGGTTGTGAGTTACAAATAGTTATTCTTTTTTATCGAACTAATCAATACAAGTATTTGATAATCAAGTTAATTACCATAACAAAACTAGATATTCTCCTCCTGCATTTTAATTTCGTGTCAAATATATACTGGACTGCTGCTTAGGTTCTAATTCATTATTAATTTTTATTTTTCTGTTTTTTATTTGTTGGGCATCTTGAAATTCTAATGTGTTGATTTATGTCTTTTGTTTATATACAGCCGTATTTTATGGGTTTCATCCTTGCCGTTGATCTTCACTTACCCGCTCATGAAGAGAATTACTTATTGGGTATTGTATCTCTTATCTTTTTTTCCATCTCATAAATTACGTCCACAATAACTTTAACTTTTTTAAAATGAAACTTTAAATACTAAAACATTGGTTTAGATGAAACACTTTTGCACTAGATACAATATTGATGCAATGTTCTCTATGATTTTCTAAAAATTTCATTTCACTAAATATTATAGCTTACATATTTCTAGGCATGGCTAATCAAGTTAAGACAATTATTTTAGAATGATATTAGTAATAAGCCAATTATTTCTGGTTAAGACAATTATTATATTAATCTTTCTTAGTTAAACTATTTCCGATATGATAAGTCCTTGATTTCATATAGACTTTCTAAAACTAAAAGTGGAATAATAGCAGTACATAGAAACAAACACTAATTTTCAACCTCAACATAAAGAATAATAATAAAATTTCCAAGATTAATGATTAGTTAGATCAACCTCTAGTTTACTTTACCTTAACACACACACACACAAATTCTTGAACATTAATTAATCTAATCTAAAGATCATTATGTATTAATTTTGCTTTATCAGTTGCATATTATTCAATTTTTTTAAAGCTTTCAAATTCATTTGTCTAGTTGGTCAAAGTGCCATCAGCTGAAATTATACATTATTCTACACCATCATAATAAAAAAAATTGGAAAACCACTATTCCTTAGTTTAGATCTCATTTAATTAGTTGTCTTTCTTGCCAAACCTCCCCCAACAACAAAAAAAAAGGGAAAATCAATTAAATGTGTGTAGTTATTTTGGTCCAAGCCAAGAATATACAGAAGTCCACAGATAAAATATTCGAAGTTATGAATATACAGAAGTCCATGGAATACCACAGATCAGTAATATAAATAAAATTGAATGACGAAATGAGATCATCTAACAAAAATTATTTACAAAATACGACTATGGGATTAAAGTGTACACAAATAAAATTTTAAAAAAATGATCGAACATCTTATTCTTTTATTTTTTTTTCTCTTTTTGCTTTATCTATTGTTCCCATTGCCTGGCCTTGTTTGGACAGCCATTTTTCACTGAAAAATGGTCTTGTTTTCCGTGAACACACTTCCCTATCACCTTTTTATCTCACATACATCAAATCGCTACAGTAATTTTTCTACCAAAATCCATGAAAAATGCAATCCAATTCATGAAACAATCTCTGAGTTTTCATTCACTCTGTTTAGTTTTCTTTTCAACAATGTAGGTAAAGCTTTAGCTAGTAAGTTGAAGTAAATACAACTAAAGCCGAATAACAAAATGAGATCATCTAAAAGAAAGAAAAATAATTGGCTATATATGCAAAAAACGACTATGAAACTAAAACGTACATAAATAATATTAAAAAATGATCGCATTTCTTATTTCTTTATTTTCTCTCTCTCTCTTTACCTGATGTTTTCATTGCTTAGAGGTCCTGAATTGTAATCTTTCCATCTACATCCCCACTTCTTACCTTGCTAAACACAAAAAAGAAAAGAAAAGAAAACCTATTATTTCCATTGTCTTAGCATGTTGCAAAACAATCTCTCAGTTTTCATTCATTTTGTTTGGCTATCCCCAAAAAAAAAAAAAAATTGAGATCATTGCATAGTTGTGCAAAATTTTTTTATTGGTGACAGTTGGTTACCATGGGATAGACCTCATGACTGTCCAATCCGAACTTAATTAAGTCTGAGGGCTTATTGGATAAAGTTGAAACTTGAAATCTGAAATTCGAAATCTAAATTTGTTAAGTTATTGAATTATTAAGTACTAAAATCTTAACATTTGAAACTATTCTTTATTAATAAGTGAACAGCTTATCACTCATTGTTTTGAGTAAGTTTTGTCTAAACCATTTAGACTCTATTTATTAATTTAGACGTTCTATTTTTTATTATCAAATACGTTTGAATATATTAAAGTCTAAAACTATTAAATTTAAGTGTTAAATTGAGTTATCAAACAAAATCTAAATACTCTTTACTTAATAAAGATTGGGCTGATTGAGAAGTTCAAACATGTCAATGCAGCCTCAAGCCCATCTTGGTTTAACTGCAAATTGGGGAGCTTTGTACTCATGGGCTGCTGTTAAAGGAAGTCTTGATCCTGCTATTGTCTTCCCGGTCCTCGTTGCTTGCTTCTTCTGGACACTGGAGGTTGATACAATATATGCACATCAGGTACAAATTCTCGGAATTTCTTGAGTGCTGAGTTTTTTTTTTTTTTTTGGTAAATAAAGCTTGAGTGCTGAGTTGCACACGCCTAGTGGTATCAAAGCTTAACCTCTATAGTACTCATTCAACTTTTCCCCTGTTTACCTCTTTTTAAAACAATGGTACTATAGTTGTGGTCAGTCTTTGTACAATGGCACTAAGTGAAATTTGGATGGGTGCTATAAAGAGTAAGAAAAGATACTACTTAGTAAATTATTTGCCTATGAATCCTATATTTCGCTTTTATAATATGTATTTAAATGGAAAACGTTGCCATGTTGTCCTAACCTATGCGGTTTGATCTCTTTATTTTGTTACCTATCGCTTGGCTTTTTATCATTAATTTTTTTTTTTTTTTGGCATCATAGGAACCAAAGAGTGAAAGACTTGGCTAATTACCCTAGTAAGAAAGAACAGTGGAACTTAAAAAAAGAATTAAATTATGTACGAAAAATGTTTGAACAAAGTTAGGTTTTCGAAAGCCACAAAAGAATTTGGTCTTGTTACATATTTGATCTTGTTATATATATATATATTTCTACTGTGTTCAATATCTTTGAAGCTATTAAACTCCATTTAGTTGGCAATATTGATGCAATTATTTTATTATTATTATTTTTCTCTTTCATCCTTCCCACGCGTTTCCCATCCCTTTCCCATCTCCAATTATCAGAATTCGAATCTTACACCTGGTAACGCGGAGAATTTTAAGAGCCGTCTTCTAAGTTCTAAGATGCAATATTAGAAAGAGTAGTTTGATTTTCCTAGTGGTTGCATTGAGCCATTGACTCACATACTTGTACCCATGTATGCTGCATTTGGTCACAGGATAAAGAAGATGATGTGAAAGTGGGTGTCAAATCTACAGCTTTGCTATTAGGTGATTCAACAAAATTGTGGACTACTGGTTTTGGAGTTGCATCCATTGCTAGTCTTGCTCTAGCTGGATTTAACGCTCACATTGGTATTTACTTCTATTCATTCATCTTTAGTTAACTACAATTTATAATAATTCTTTTTTTTTTTGAAATATCATCTCTACAATTTATAACTAAAATTAACTTTTTATATATTGTTGTGAAAATTCTTAATTTATATAAGCATGTCTAGACTACTGCAAGATCATATTTGATTAGATTGTAACTTAGGTAGACTTTTAGACATTTAGAGTAAACCTATCTTGTGATCAAAAAAATGTTGAGACCTCAGAAATTAAACGTATTGAGTTCAAATCTCCATTCTCCATTTCTATTTCTTAAATCATATCCTTCCCTTACTGAAAATATTTTTTTTAAAAAAAATGAGTGAGTAAACCTGTCTCGTGTAAAAATGCTTGCAACTTTTGTATACAAGATGTTACTTATTGTTATTTGCTTTTACTGTTTTTAATTTACCACACCAGCTAGTCTTGGGAACCAAACCATTTTTCACCCTTTCTAGCAAGATAGAGTTTTTAACCTTCTTATTTTTAAATGAGATAGAAGTATTTTTGAAGATAATCTGGACAGCGTTACTCATACTATCTTTTTATTTAACCATATTTTTCCGATTTCTTTTCCCACAAAATTTATTCCCAATCCTTTGACCATTTTATGTCTATCGTTATTCAACCTCTACATTTGGCCAACAATATGTTCCTCATTTTTTCAGCTCCTTTTGAAGGGTTATTTATTTTTAATCTTATTTTTGGTTATTCTAATTTTTAGGTTTATATAATTTTCGAGTGTTACAGGATGGCCATTTTATGTATTGCTAGCAGCTGCATCCGGTCAAATAGCTTGGCAGATTTGGGATGTAGACTTATCAAACCCAGCAGATTGTTTCAGAAAGTGGGTACTTATTAATGAAGATAAAAAATTCAAATTAATTTATTATTTGACTGTGCATAATTGATGCTCTTAGGAAATTATAAAGAGGCTCATCCTCCCACGCTAAAATTAACTTTCACACCTTCCAATCATAATTCTTTCTTTTGGCTATAGGTATAGAACATTCTCTTACAATTTTTTGAGCTAATTACTTTTCGTCGTTGGTAAGTCCAGGGCAAATGTGAATAAATCTTTTGAAGCTTGTAAAGATAGTATACATGAATTGTTGGATGGGCAAAAGGTCAAATTGTATTAGTGTCTGTAATCTAATCGTTCTTACTAAGGGGGAAGAAGGGACGAGTTGGGTGGTACGGGAGGAGAGAGAGTATAAACAAGAGATCTCGATTTTGAGTTCTTCTACTTACACTAAAATAAAATCTTAAAAAAAAATCCTTCTTACTAATACTTATAGATCGAGCCTCTAGGATTTCTGGTTTTTAACCGTTAGGTAGAAACATTCTTTTAAAATGCACATCCCTTGGCATATGAAAAAAAAAAAATTGAAAAAGTGCTTTGACAAAATTTGAGGGTTCCAACCCAAAACGTGATCTAGCCCATTTTCAGAAAGAAGGTCTAATTAAAGATACACAAACTCAATCCACAAGTCTAGTCTTGGCATATATTTCTTATGAATAAATTTTATATTATAACTAAGTTTTATTTTATTCCTTTCACTCTACAGATTTGCATCAAATAGATATTTTGGTGCTGTTGTCTTTAGTGCAATTCTGTTTGGAAGACTCTTGTCATAAAGGTATTTGCAACTACCTAATACATTATTGTTTTTCCCTATGCTCAGTTTCCAGCTCCTTCATTTATACACTTCCTTTATAAAAATCTGTTCTCTGTCTTTTGGTTTTCTTTTTTAACAAGGTTTAATTTTTACTCGTTTGCGCGGCATAAGCGACAATAAATAACAAATTACATAAATTCCACTAATGTTTTTATTTTCTGTGGCAATTTTTCACTTTGCAGGCAAAGGAAAATTGAAATGAAATATAGCACAAGGGAGAGGTGGATGATGGTTATATTGTGCTTACAGTTTCAATAGGAAGTTTAAGATCAACAAAGCATAAGCCGTCATTTTAAGGTGTGTTTGGATACGAGATTATTTGAAATATTATTTAGAATAATTACTATAATATTTTTTTGAAATATGATGTATATTAGATAAAAAAGTTATTGAAATGACAAGAAGTTGACTGAGAATTATAATTTTGATGCGCTAAAATAATATTTGGAAAACATTTTACTATCCAAACACCTTATTTGAAATCTAGTTAAGAAGCTTCATATCAGTGTCCTATGTGCATGGGAGTGCCCAATCATTGGATTTTTTTATTTTTTATTTTTGTCGAAATGATAGCTTTATAGATGATATCAAAATATGTACTGTGTTTAGACAAAGGTCCAATTCATACAGACGTGCATATTAGCACAGAAGAGTGAGTTCAATCCGCTCTTCATCTTGGAAAATGCCATAAGCATAACTACTAAAAGCCACAATACTATATATCATTGTTTTTATTCCTTACACAACAAAAAGTCCAATCTTTGGATCAATTGTAAGTTATTTGATTTGATGTCAATGAAAACCTAAAAATGACAGGGGAAAAAAAAGGAAAGGAAAACAAGAAAAGGAGGGCATCAGAAAAGAGAAAACTTAAATAGGTTGCTTCGAAATTAAAATTGCAGATTCCAAAATCTCATAGCATGTTTATGAGATTTATGATTTCTTCGGTTTAGGATCACCAAAGCTCCGGAAAGCAAATTTTGGAGCAGCAAATTTGTAGTGAGACCAAACGTCATTTATGTGTAAAACAGACATGCAAAAATTACTTCATATTTGAGGACTCCATCACCTAGAATGCTTCTTAAAATTTTCAAAGAGTACATGATAAAAAAGATTAACCTATTAAATTTGACTAACTGAAAATTTCACAAACTTTTAAATGTCCCAATGTGCTTAATTTTTAACATTTTTTTTCCTTTTTACCCTTCTACTTCTCTCCACACCCAACTGTTAGGCGAAAGATTCGAATCCTTAGTCTGACGGTGGAGAATATTCTAAGAGCTCTCTCTTGAGCACTTGGCCTATTTCTCTTGAAATTGCAGGGGCAATTTCAGTGAGCTGACATATGTTAGACTAAACCTAAAAGAAAATTTTTTTTTCAACACTTAATTCGATGCTCAGATATGAATCATTAATTGGACCTTGCAATTACTCAGATTCAACAATTGTAGAGATCATTGATCCAAACTGCACTATCCATTACGGAGTGAATCCTCACACATTTGTGATACCTCATTCTTCCCATTAATAACGTCTTATCTTTGTTTTTAGGTGCTGAATTATGTTTGTTCCAACAATTCAAAGCATTCGTATTAATTTTTACCCACAAATAATCGTAGTTTTGTTCTGCTCCTATGATAAATTGTTTAAGCTCGAAATTTTCAAGGCAACAATGGTTACCCAAAAAAAAGAAAGAAAGAAAAAAGCCTTTGGTCCGAATTCCAAACTAAGCTGCCAATTTTCTTCTTTTTACACCTCTAGACCCTGAAGTAGCAGCCTCCACTTCCACATCCATGCTTCTTTTTTGAAAATTCTTTGGTTGCGAGCTCCCCACACATGCGTCCTATTTTAATAAACACAAAAGGTACAAAGTGGATCCATTTGCTACAATTAGTTAAACTATTGGATTACCTTGACCATGTACCTTTTGACCCAAATTACAAAATCTAAACATTCATTGGGCTGTTTTGTTTTGTTTTTTTTTTTTTAATAGCAAAATCAATGACCTACTAGGAAAGTGATTTCATACATGGCAAACTTTTTTTTGGGGATTCTCCTCGGATTCTCATGTTTTTTTGGGAGATGCCGAGTGCACAGGTAGAGTTGAAAGCGCTGCTTTATGGTGTTAAGTTAGCTCTTGCTCGAGGGTATTTTACTTTGCACTTGGAATAAAATCCTTGGTACTTGTCCAGATTATTCAAAGAAGAGCGAGATGTCTCCATGGAGTTTGTAGAGGGATTTATAGGAACTGCTGCAAGCTAGAAGTTTTTTTAAGGAGGTATTACATTGCTTTCGAGAAGTGAACAAACCTGCGGACAGATTGTCCAATGTTGAAGTTGATTCTGGAGTAACTACAATGCATGAGTCGTTTCGTGATTTGCCTCGACTGGTGAGAGGAGACATTACACTTGATCGGCTTGGTTATCCGAGTTTTCGAAGAAGTGGATTATAAGTATTTTGCTTTTGTCTTGTGCTTAATTGTTCATGCTTTCTGGAGGTAAGGCCTAGCCCCCCTCATTGTATTCTGTGAATTTCTATTATTATTAAGAAAATTTGGGTTGGCATCCCACCCCTGTGTACAGGGTTTGCCATAAAAAAAATACATAGCAAACTTTCTTCTAAATAATTTTCATCTGTTTATTTATTTATTTCATATCTTTATTTGGTAACTATATATTTGTAGAGCTAATCTCCTAAGCTTCCATGCCATCCTCTCGCAACAGTTTCTCTTGGGGACTTTCACAAAATGGCCCATGCCATATAAGATGGTTCTGATTCTGGTTTCAGAACCGCCGGTTCTGCTTCTTCAAAAAGATAGAACCAGAACCGCACCATCTGGTTCTGGTTCCGATTCTGGTTTCGGTTCTGGTTCCTTATAGTTCTGATTTTGATTCCTTGTGGTTCTGGTTCTGATTCCGTATAGTTGTATACAATTTTATTTAATTTTTTTATCCTTACCAATTTTAATACGAATATAACAATATATTTAAAATTTTAAATAGAATGTAAAAAATAAATACAAAATAAAGATCATATTTTAATTTTATTATTATTCAACAAAGTATTAAGTAATAAATAGATAATACAAATTTTATGAAAAATACGTTACATTGTCAAATTAAAAAATACATTACACTATCAAATGACAATCATTTTAAATGAAAAAGAAAATACTTGATTTTTTCATTGAAATTGAGATGAAATATCAAAACAAACATTAATTATTTAATCATCTTCACTGCTTGCGACGGCACTAGAATCAGTTGTATAATTGAATTCTTTTTCTTCATCTTTTTTCATTTCTTGTTGTCTATATTCTGCTCTAGTCCAATCATCCACGCATGCTTGAATTTCTAGTGATTCTGGGCTTAATCTCGATCTTGTCTCATCCAAAATGGTTCCACCGGCACTAAAAGCTTGTTCCACTGCTACTGTTGATGCTGGAGTTGCTAAAATGTGCTTAGCAATACGGGAGAGGATAGGATAATTCTCTGATTTTCGCTTCCACCAGTCAAGGACTTTAAACTGTTTAGTTAAACTACTATCATCATACTCAAACTTGGTAGTTAGATATAATTCAAGTTCCGTATTAGTATTAAGTGAACCCTTTTGTCGTTTCGACCTTTCAAGAAGTATTCTATCACCAATTTTGACAGCTCTTTTAAGACTATTATCAGTGTTACTAGAGGGTTCCAAAATATTAGTAGGAAATCGATCACCATAAGTAATAAAAAATTCATTATATTAATTGTTTTAATTTTTTTTAACGGTTCTGGAACCGGCGGTTCTGGTTCTGGTTCTATTTTTTAGAGAACCGGAACCGGAACCTTTATCCAAGGTTCTACCATGGTTCTGGTTCCATGATTTTGGTTCCGGTTCTGGTCCGGTTCCCGGTTCCAAGTGGAACCATGGCCATGCCTAGGGACATGTCCATAACATATGGCTCTACACCTTGGTTTGAAGCTTTATATGGCTCCACATTGTGTGTGTCTTTCCTTATTAGTATGTCCAAAATAACATTATTGAGTGTGTTTAGATAGGAGATTATGTGAGATAATTTTTTGAAAAAAAAAATACTACAGTACTTTTTTTATATGATGCATGTAAGATAAAAAAGTAGTTAAAAATATATTTATGATGCAAGTAGAGAAATTTGTATTAAATGCAATGAACATTTTAAACATAAACTATCTGTTTCGATGATATAATTTTTGCACTAAATAAAATGTTATAGCCATGCAATAATACACTGTAATATTTTCAAAGTTTTTTGTTATGTTATGGTAGCTTACAACTTTGTAAATTTATATTAAATTTAAATCTAATTTCCAGTTATTGTAGGACCGCCTAATCAATTTAAGACAAATAGTTAAAAATCACCTGTGTAGCATTAATTTCATCTTTCTTAGTTTTAGTAGGAATCTATTATGTGGCACTTTTTTTCTTTTTGTTTTTGTCGCAAAAGAAAACATATTTTTTCTGCATAAGTATTGAAATTCAAAAGGTGGATAGTAATCTTACAGTTTTCATAGTGGACTTACATCTTCTTTAAGTGTGTCAAATGTGTAACAAGAGAACTTTAAATATGAATTAACTTTATGTATCATTGGTACATAGCTCGTTTTATTTCTTTAACATAAATCATTAGCACTAAAAAAAAATATTTACACAGTCAATTAGAAAAACAAAAAAAATTGATGTGTATGTTGTTGCAGCCTCAAGCCCAGTTGGGGCTGACCATGAACTGCGGAGCATCATACTCATGGGTTGCTGTTAAAGGAAGTCTTGATCCTGCTGTTGTTTGTTTCATAATCTGGCCCAAGCTAAACAAAATGGCCCAAGCTTCCAAGCTCAGAGTCATGGCATCCTCTCATAGTTTCTCTGGGATTTTTCCCATCTCCAACTTCAACCATCAACCTCATCCCTCCATAGCTCTCCCCAAAGCCTCCATCAAACCAGCCAAATCAATCTCCAAAATCAACCCTTCTAGTGTGGAAAACTCAGCCACATTCAACCATTCTTCGATAAAGGATACCAGATTTCTTGGTAGAGGTTGTAACCTAACATATCAAGCTCCACGATTATCAGCATCATCAAAGTCATTAGAGCAGAGTCAAGATGAAAAACCTGCTTCTTATTTAATTAATTTAATACTAACTCAGACATTAAAGAAAAATACTAAATTTTATTTCTTATCATTAGGTCTCAAATCATATACAACAACAAAAAATAGTATATCAATTTATAACTTTCACTTAATACAAGAACCAAATTACTCTTTTTAATTACATACCCATTGTCAAACATGACCAACAACAAGTAATCAAAAAATTTGCAACCAAAATATTACAGAGAACAAACATTAACATCATAAATATTCTTGTCAACATATTAAAGTTAGTTGTTGAGATTTTTATGATACTAAAGCTCGCTCCTTGTAATATTTTGGTTACAGATTTGTTTGATTATTTGCTATTAATCATGTTTGACAATAGGTTCGTAACTGAAAAGAGTAAATTGGATCTTATATGAAGTGAAACATGTAGAATGATATACTATTTTTGATATACCATTATAGGATTCAAAGTTCTTTATTAGCTAATTGAATAATTGCAATAATTTCCACTTACCCTTTGCACAAGGGAGACCCTTTCGACCCAAATCCATTGGAGCTTGTAGCCAATAATGGGCTCACATCATTTTTATTAACCAATAATGGGCCTCACATCAATTCGCCTGTCCCATATTATACCCCAAGAAGAAGGAAAAAGGAACAACACTGAAGAAACGAATATGGAAAAGATATCATAGAAAAAGAAGATGGAAGAATAATTTTTTATGGTATCATACCAAAAGATATCATACGAATAAAGAAACATGAGGTTAATAAGCAAAAGTCTTGCCGTTTCGGTAAAAAGAATAAAGAAACATGAGTACTTTCCTTTGCTGTGCTGATCCGGTCTTTTTTATTAGCCAATAATGGGCTCACATCAATTCCACTGTCCCATATTATACCCCAAGAAGAAGGAAAAGAGAACAACACTAAAGAAACGAATATGGAAAAGATATCATACTAAGAGAAGATGGAAGGATCATGGAAGAATTCCACTCTTTGTTCTTTGTGTTGTGGTTAATACTCGGGTTATTATCACTTTACCCCATCAATGTTCGGTGCCACTATCAATTTCTCCCTTAACGTTATTTTTTAGTCACTTTACCCCTAAGATTAACAGTCAAACTTAACGGAATTTGTTAATTAAAGTAAAAAGACAAGTTTAGCCCTTAAAGTTATTATCATTTTACCCCCATAAACTATAGTCTCGATAACAATTTATCCCATAGAGTTATTTTCTAGGCAATTTATCCCACCACTAAACCAACTTAGCAAGTTAAAAAACTTTAGAAGAAAGTACCCTCCTCTTTGTATAATAAAAACAATAAAAAAATTTAGAGTGGCTCTTCTCTTCTTTAGTATCAAGAAAAAAAATCAAAGTATTAATTTCTTTCTTCTTGGCAATCTTATTAATATTAAAAAAATAGAAAGATCGGAAAGGGGAGGGAGAGGGGGGGGGAGAGAGAGAGAGAGAGAGAGCTCAATTCTTTTTTTGGAAAATACAAATAAAAAAGAATTAAATACTTTTATTATTTTAAAATTATTTCACTTTACTGTTTACCACCAGATTTCAATCCTAATTCCAACAACCTTAAATTAATACGATAATGTTAGACTTTTTTTTTCTTTGCAAAATTTAATTTGCTATCTCATTCTTTCCTATCTTTTTTTTCTTTTCATAGTATTAATAAGTGTGAAAAAATAAATTTGAGAAAACCCTTTTATTTTTATATTTTTGGATCTCTTAAGGTGAAAAAAAGAAAGAATAATCATTCTAAATTTTTTATTTTTAATTATATATATAAGGGTAAATATATTAAAATTTTTTTGACCATAGTAGTTAGATTAATGATTAAGTAAAATTCCAAGAAAGTAATGTTAAGAATTAAATCGATTATATCACTATAATTTAAAGGAATAAAGTAATAATAACAATGTAGTAATACTATAAAATAAAAGGGTATTTTTGTCCAAAATTTCTTAACATGTTGAATTGAATTACTTATGGGGTGAAGTGACTAAAAGACAACGTTAGGGAGTAAACTGATAGTAGTGATATAGTTTAAGAGGGTAAAGTGATAATAACCCTTAATA